CCGCTTCAGCAGCTGTGAAGACAGAGCACAGGCGCAGTGCATGAATGCAATTTGCCGAAAAATGATTCTGATGAAGCAATTTATGTAGACAATCAAGGTGGCCTGTGCCATCATAGACCATGAGTGTGGCGCTTATGGCCATGGAGGTTCACCATGTCCAAACTGTATTTGATTGTATTTGTGTTGCAATTCCAGTTTTGTCGTTGTTTGGGGACACATCTCAGCTTCAAGCGTCTTTGGCACCAATACATCACTTGAAACGACGCGTTCAGCAGAAACTGCGGGAACAGCAGGTGACACCAGCCGCGCGAAAGGCTCGAAAGTCCAACGGAACCGGGTGATGCTATTTCTGTGCTCCCTGGGCCTTACTGAACCTATGGCAGAATAGCAAGCGAGTAACACAGACCCCTGGATGAGCGAGCGTGCAAGGGGCATCATGAAATCATATGGCATATATGGTTTGCTATCGGCTTTTGGAGATGAAGTTGGGGTTTCTATGTAGGCACTTGTTCATTAAGTTTTAGCAATGTGCAAATTTCCGTGCTGGGGATGAAGACATTTCATCCAAACTGCTGTTGGAACCCAGGTTGGCCAGTCATTTGTGGCCTTTGAAAGGCTTGCGCCACTGGGCCAATAACAAGGGTCAAATGGCTCAGGTGTGCACCGCTGGGAGCGCGTTTATCCCCGAATGAAATAGATCACGGACCTAGATGTTTCAAGATCAGAGAGAGGGTACTGTCACAGTTTGTTGGAGGTTCTTAATTTGGATTAAACTTGATGTGGGTGCTCGAGGGTGTGGGGCGCAACTGGGCATTTGTTTGTTCAAGGACATGTATTTTTGCGGGGATCATCTCTGGCAAAATTCAATATTGGAATTTGGAACGCAGCCGTGATACGCATAAATATAGTCATGAATGTGATAAATTGGTCTCATTTGGTCGCACTACTCGTCGCTACTGGTCACTAGTATAGATCATGGAATGACATGGACAGGTGCGGTCCCGTTGCAGAGGGAGTTCCGCGTGGCATGTCTATGACCAACAAGTTGGGTTCACGTACAAGACTCAAAGGACCGAGGGCATGTTGAATCATGTTGGATTCTTCAAGCCGGCCATGGCATGCCATGGTGAGTTTTTCTGGTGTTCAGCACAATAACGTGGATGGTGCACCGACTCGGTTAGATGCCGGAAGAAGTGGTGAACACAAGCGAACAGTCTAGCTTAGTGAGGGCGGCCTTCGGTTCAGAGCACAGGCTCGCTGTTCTATGGATAGCTTCCCGTGTGAACCCTTAGAGTTTTCGATCAAGAGTTGTATCTATCGTCTATTCCTGGTGGGCATGGAGCAGATCAAGCGCAAGGTTTCGGGACTTGAAAGCGTCGGAACAAGTTGGAAAAGGGTTCTTGGCCTTGGTCCCAGGTAGATGCTATGTGGTGGGCACTTGCTCCAGCAAGGAGAACTACGGATCCCGTGGCTGACCCCAGGTTTGTGTGCCAAAACACCGTCAAGAGTGGTGTTTGGGTCCAGATCAGTTGGTGTACAGTTGGACTGAAGTTGGACTTGAACTAGGTTTGTGTACGGTAGTCATAGTCGCCGGTTGGTGTACGGTAGTCGCCAACACCGCCAACTGTCCATTGAACATGTGCACAGTTGGACGACAGTTTGCTGGTGAAGGTGGGCCCCCTTGGCTCAACTGAACTCGGCCACCACGAAGCCAATATCCCGGATGGCCGTTCCGATCAACCAAGAATGCAGTCAGTGCATTTTCCTGGGCATGTGTTGGGGCTCCTCTCGTAACTGCATTTAGGGTGTTTGGAACGATCAAATTTGCTGGTTGAAACTTGACACCTGTCAGAATTCCGCTACAAACGCAGCCTTCAGGAGCATGTGCATCCCAAACTCTTGGAGCTCTTTCACGAGAACCTAGCTCCTAGCTCCTTGTGTGGTCGGAGTCAACGGGGAAGGATCTTGTTATTTTGGGCCCTGCATCTCAGGAGCTGGTGGAGTTACAGTTACCATGGGCTATCCGTTTTGATTTTGGGTTCATGGCAGCCAGGGAGCTTGAAGAGACAACGGGACTGGCAACATCTACTAATATATATATATACCTGATTCATCCTGATTCAGGACAGTCCGGGACTGGCCTGGAGCAAGCGGTTCTATTTACTCGGCAGGCACCTGCTTCACTTTGGACTCAAAGATATGGGCACCAAGAACCGAAGAAGGCGCGGCTTTGAGCCGTCGCCGACGGAGGAACAAACAGCGGCAGATTCAGGTCAGAGAGATCCAGACCCTCCATGTATGGAAGATACATGCCAATCAGTTGACCCCCCAAACCACTCCAATGTAGGCAAATATGGCATACTGTACATGGAGTGTTTGGGATATGACGTGTGATCAGTAAGTTTCCCACGGTTCACGGAAGAGTCTTTCCCTTGGGTTTGGGACCTAGCTGAGCGGCTGTTGGCAGCCCTTGGTGGAAAGTGATGTTTTTAGTACATATATAGTTGTCTAATTCTGCACTGCTATCGCCTGTGTGAAGTTGCCAGAGCCAAGACTCCCCATGCAAGGATTGCGCACTGCTTGGAGCTCCAAGCCAAGCACAGGGCTTGAAGTCTCAGGGCTTCACGGTCTTGCGGCCTGTCGCCACTGGCCACCTAGGTGGAGCTTCCCTCTTTGGGCTTTGGGCCGGCGCGAGTGGCGGCGCCACCGCGGACGCCCGGAGCGAGCGAGGGGCAAGAAGTGTTGCTGGGGCGAGAGGCGCTGAAGGAGGAGTTGCAGACGAAACTTGGCGCCGGAGAACGACTGATGACGCAAAATGGTCACAGATAGCTTAAGGTCAGATAGGTCGGGGTAGGAGGAATGTGTAAGCAGATATGGAAGCTTTAGCAGAACCATGAAGAACCCAACTGATTGCCCCTAGCAGCTAGCATGGCTTGCACTTAAGTGCCAGGGCTTGAAAGGAGGACTTAACTTTTTAGATCCCATGGTAGATTTCTCACAGGAGGCTCCTTCAGCATCATGTCTTATCACTGAAATCATCCACTGACGTCGTAATCATGTCAAACGTCATTGGGGACTTGTGTGCATGCCCCAGTAACTTGTGTTCTTTAATCTTGGGAAAAGGGTGTGCGGCCCACAATGGAAATGTGCCAGATGCCTCGTTTTGTGCAAAAGTGTATACAGGCTTTGTTTGTAGGATCAATGATAAGGAAACTGTAAGATACTGCAAGAGTTAGGCTTAGAATTTCTTCAACCTTTTCTTTTTGAAAAGACGCCGTTGCCGCTGTCTGAGGTTGAAAGTGCATGGTTGAGATTGGTTTTCAAATCCGTCACGGACCCATGCAAGCCATATGAGCGAAGACTTTCTCAAGCCGATGTGAAGCAAGTAACAGGATGGGTCATTTGGCAAAACCTGATGTTCCAAGTGTTTTCTTACAAGGGGAAGCCTGCAACAGCTCCAAACAAAAATGGCGCGAAGTTCTTTGTTCCCCACGTTTTAGCTGTGTCGATGTGGGTGTCGGAATCCCCTACTTGGGACCCCCCCAGTTCCCCACACTGTTCCCCACATGAAAGGATGGCCTTTGAACATGAAGCGTGCCATCCTACAGCAAGCTGTTGCTGAGCCAGTTCAGAGCAGATGGCATTGGGTACCCAAAGAGATCTTTCAGCTGGGGATCCATACAAACCACCAAACTTGGGGTCATGAGAGTGCCACTGGTCCTCTCAATCCACTCAGAATCCACACCTTTCGTCCTGTCCCCTCCAGACGACCTCCGTTCCAACCCTCAGGACGGTGGTCCAGTATTTTACCTCAGCCACTTGTCCGAAGCGGGGCCGGGCGGACTGCCGGTCAAACTGGACAGGTCTTGGAGTCGGCACTGAAGAGATGCATTTGCAATATCAAGACACAATAAGACAACACGTGGATGAATGTCCATGTCTTTCTGCTACCAGCACCAACGATCTTCTCCATCTCTTTTTTTGCGTCTTTCTGCTACCAGAGACTGGCCCCGTTGAAAGCGTAGGTCGCTCGGCGTCGTCCGCGGTCTGCAGGTGGAGACCTTCCGAGCCATGGGAGTCCAATGGCCTCCACGGACCTTGCTCCATGGGCCGTCGGGCAGCGGCAAGACGCAGCTTCTGCGGTGGCTGGCTGATCGGGTGGCTTGGGCACCCGTTGGTGGAGATCTGGAGACCAGGATGAGATCGAGTTTATTAGACCGCGTTTGTATACCCATGCTAGAAATCATGGAAGAGAATCACTTCTTAATACTTCTGACCTTCTGACCATCCATGGGACGGGAATAGTTGCGTGCAATTGCATCTAATTAGGGTGGGGTGAATCATGTGCACTCCCTGAAACAAGCATGGACGTGGAACATGACCCCGAAAGGAATACTGTTGTCCGAACACTGAACAGGCCGTGCTATTGAATCACTGGGGGTGGCGGCAAGATCTATGGGCCTCCAGTCAGATCTACAGGGCCACACCGTTTTCAGGGTTCAATATCACATTCCCAGGATCATCCAATGGGTGTCCAATGGGCATCTCTAATTACTAGTACTGTAGAGCATTGTAGGGTAGTCATGAGTAGTCCATTTCAAAAGATTGGATGGTCGGATGCTCCTGTTTTTTTTTGGAGTTCACTCAGGTGGCGCCCTACGCAGAGGTCACCTGGCTGCGGCCCGCAGAGGTGTTCTCCCGGTACTTGGGCGAAAGTGAGGTGCGCCGAGCAGTTTCGGTCGACCAGGAGAGGTTTCAAGGGAATAGACCTGCATGGGAGGCCAAGCGGGACATTTGGCCAACAACGAGAAGGAGGGGTTTGTTGATGTTTGTTGATGTGATTTTCATTGTTTTTCTATTTCCTGGTGCACGCATGAAAAACTTTATAGAGGTGGAACTTTTTGAGCAGACAGATCCACGGTGGACCATGTAAACTCCATCCTTCACCGCCAGGCAGGTGCAGGGTCACCAAAGGATACCCCTCAATTTGCAGTTTGTTGGGGCTGAAGTTGGTAGAGCCAGTGATGCTTTTCCTTCAGTACCCAGTGCCCGTAACATGCCATCATCATGCATCCAATTCCAACTGTTGCTCTAGGCTAGCCTTTAGAGGTCTCCTATGGTCCCCCATATATCACACATTCCCTTGCTCTATCCAGCCTTAGGGTTGCCCCAGCCTTGGGGTGTGCCCCTTGTCCCCGCGAGCTAGCTCGGTCTCCTCGCGCCACAGGAGCGGCTGCGCAACGCCTTTGCAGCGGTCCAGAACCTTGGGCGACCGATCGGGGTGGAGGGGTCGACCAGACCTCAACCTGCCCCGAGGATGGTTTTGGACAGATGGAATTTGGGCGCGATTGGACATTTGGAGTGTCCGCTTTTGAGATGTTTTTTGGGGTGCATTGAGTGGGTTGTGAATCACACGATGGTTGTGAATCACATGACGCCGTTTGTCTCAGAGGCATGCTTTGACATGACATCAGGCCCCATGGCCAAGTATCTAGGAAGACGAGGGCATTTGGCATTTCCGACGAAACTTGCTGGCGGTTTTGCCTACCAATCGCGAGTTCTCGTGCTCGGAAGATTTTTGAGAAATTGGTTTGTCACCATGACGCCACACTGTGGGACAGTCCACATTCTGGGGCTTTGAACGAGAAGCTGGCGCCAAGTAGTCCAACTCATCAGCAGTCTCATCAGCCTTTGAGACCACCGAGACCGTTCGAACGTGAACTGGGAGCCATTCGGTGAGACCGTTCGCTTCTCACTCACATGGATTGAAGTACCTGGGCGGATTCACCGAACGCACCCTTCGGACCAGTCCCACCACGCACCGTCTCGCTGCATCTCTCTGGTTTCGCACCGTCGCGTCGCCCGTTCGCCCGGCCGGTCCGGCGGAGGAACAAAGAGGCGGCAGTGCTGATACTGGAGGGCCTTGACGAGTCACTCAGATTTCCACGTTTGTACTGCTGTACTGCGACGGGGATGTCGGACTGCACGTGCGAGTCGCCGAAACCTGAGCGTACGTGGGCGGTGGGGCGGAGCCTTTTTTGGGCTAGTAGAACATATAATATAGAGAGAGGTTTGCAACAGATGGCAACAGATAGGCAAAGACAAAGCATTTGCAACATCACAGTTTACTCAGCTTGAGCGCAGAGAAGGACAGCCAAGTGACTCGGCCTTGCATGAAGTCCTGGAAGTCCACAGAGTTTGTTTCTGAGATAACTTAACTCACCAATTGGTTGGAGTCTAGCCCAAAGATCTTTCAGAGATACTGTACCTTTGGGGTTTTAGAAGCCATCGATATACTGATATACAAAAACAAACAAGCAAACTATATAACCAACCAACCAACCAACCAACCAACCAACCAACCAACCAACCAACC